TGAGCTACTTCCCCAGCCCTTTTTATTTTTTGAGACAGGATCTCACTAATTTGCTCAGGGCCTTGCTAAGTTGCTGAGGCTGGCTTTGAACTTGTGATCCTCCTGCCTCAGCCTCCTAAAACTCTGGAATTCTAGGTGTGCACCACCATGCCCAGCTGCACACTGTTTGTAACAGAAAACTGAAAGCATCCTAAATTTCAACCAAGAGGTGAAAGGATAACAAAAGTTTCTTTTTTTTTTTTTTTTTTTTTTTAATTTTTTTTTTAGTTCTCGGCGGACACAACATCTTTGTTGGTATGTGGTGCTGAGGATCGAACCCGGGCCGCACGCATGCCAGGTGAGCGCGCAACCGCTTGAGCCACATCCCCAGCCCCACAAAAGTTTCTGTGATCATGGAAATGTTCTCTAGCTGTACTGTCCCATAACCACTAGCCACAGATATCCACTGGACACATGAACAGTGACTAGTGTGATTGGGGAATTTAATTTTTCATTTTGTCTAATTTGAGTCTAAAAAGGCACATGTGGCTACCTTATCAGACAGCAGAGCTAGGAAACAGTCAAAATAAAAGAACCAGAGCTACATACATTTTTCAACACAGATAAATTTCACAAACATAATGTCAGATTAAAAAATGAAAAAGTTTCAACTAGGAAGGCTGGGACTAGGAGGGAGGGTGAAACAAGAGAAGTGACCAGGGTGGAGTTGGAGGCACTCTCAGGCTGGGGGTTGTGCCAGCTGCGGGCTGGGTGCTACATGGCCATGAGAATACGCAGCTCCTTAAATTTTAAGTCCCAGGGCCCTTTGCTTGCCTCATCCCAGCACTGGCTCCGCCAGAGAAAACCCAATATGGTACTACCCCAGGGACCCAAGACTACCAGGAGCTGGAATGACTCACCAGGACTCACAGGGCTGAGCAGTGGACTACGCTCAGCAACGACCTAGAACAGTGAAAGGACCCAAAGCACAAAGGGAAGGTGCATGGGGTGAAGTACAAAGGAAACCAGGCGGACTCCTCTTTGAGTACACAACACACTTAATTCCCACAGCAGATTCATGACTGCATGCGTGACACGCTGCCTGTCAGGGAAGCTCACTGGAGTCTCGGGGACCAGGGTATTTTTGAGGGCTAATCATGTACCAAAATTCCAGACTACAGAAGGAAAGCGGGTGTTTAACATAAGGCACATGGTTTGACCAACAGCTGAGGCCACCATTATAGAAAGGTGGGAGCCTTCCTGAGATCTAGGTTCCCAGGTATCAGCCAAGGGCCCAACTTACAAAGAGGCCTTTCTAAGGACAGCCAGCTCAGGCTGCTAATTAAGTGTTCTCTGCACAGACTTGACTTATATAAAACTGTAGAAATCACAAACAGTGCCATATATTGTTCAAAGACACACACAAACATATATGAATATGTACAAAACAAACAATGAGTGAGGACAAGGGAAGAGGAATGCATTTGAGATAAGGGTATACAAAGCCCTATAATTGCATCTCTAATGTTTTACCTCTGAAGCTAGCAATGAGGGGGTATTTTGTTATATTTTTTTTTCTTGAACTTCTCTGTGTGTGTACTTGAGGTGTTAAGCAGACTTATTACTATGGACTACTGCAACTTGTATTTGGAGGGGTGCTTTTCACACTGCAAGTACGATGCTGAGCCCTTTATATATCTCTTTAAAAATCTACTGAGACTTTCTTCGTGCCAGGTCCTGTGCTGAACTCTGGAGATACAACACTGAGAGATGCAAGTGAGCCAGGTTAAGATCTCTGTTCTCAACCATCTTCCTGACCACTGAGGGCTGATGAGATGATGAGCACAGTTATTGAAAAACCAACATAAATGCAGACTCTGATATGTGCTTCTAAGATAATACAACAGGGTGAGTGGCGAAAAGGTGGACTGGAAAGGCTTCTTTGAGAGGGACACTGAGCTGGATCCTACCTGACAACGAGGCAGCATACAATCATGTGGGGGAAGCACATTCCAGGTACAGGGAACAGTAAGTGCAAAGCCTGGCAGCAGGAATGAGCTTGGTGTGTTGAAAGGCAGGAAATAAAGCCAGCAGGGCTTTGAGTGGTGATAAGAAGGAGGCTGGGAGGCCCAAGAGGTTAGCTRAGGCCACTGTGCAGGGCCTCCTAAGCCATAGTAAAGATCTTAGGTTTCATTCTAAGTCGGATAAGGCTTTGAAGGTTTTAAGCAGGGTAATGACATGATAGGTTTACAACTGAAGATCAACTAGCTAGCTGTATTAAGAATGAACTATGAACAGGGACATTTTCTTCATTAGCACCACAGACATAATGCTTATGGCTGATAAGCTATCCTGGGGTTATAAAAAGTTTGAGGCCAAGGATAAAGGAAAAACATTCCACAATGTAAAAGGAAAACTACAAAGTTGAAATGAATAAATGTTTAATTAAACGTCTAGAAAACATCATGGCAGCTTCGTTCACCATTCAATCTAGTACTCAGAAACAAATTAGGAAATAATTTGTAAATGAGATAGTATGTCCAAGATTACCAAGAAATCAAGGCACTTAGAAACGTGAGTTTTCTTTCAGCCAAAGTATCTCAAAAGAAAAAAAATGTCCAAGAATCCAAMACATTTTAACTTAAAATGAGATGTACATTTGAAAAGAAAAACTGCCTAGCACCATGAGGCCTTAGACCCTAGGGAGACCACACGAGTCCAGATAAGAGATGACAGTGGCTGGGATCCGTGCCGCTGAGGTTTACACCCTGTAAGGAGACAAGGTTTAGGGGGTACTCTGGGAAATGGACTTCTGATCAGAGAGGCCTAAATGAAAAGGCTTACAGCTGGGAGAAGAGGTTCTGGGTAGAGGCTCWGCATTGGGAGTGGTCTATCTGATTTGTAACAATTTATTTTATGGTCTACCACTGAGATATGCCCCCGGCCCTGCCTTGTCAGATTTTTAACAAAAAGATTAGTTTGGCTGATTTGAAGTTGGGGCCAGGTGGTGAATGGGAAGCAAGGCCCTGAAGGCCATCTCTCATCCCTGGAGTGACCCAGATCTGCACTGTCCACTCCTCAAAGGGGCTCATGAGCACCCAACTGGGGCCAGTGAAACTGTAAAATGAAACTTTCAACTACACTTAGAATACTAACTAATTGAAATTTAAATTATAAAAACCCATATTCAATTTGAGCTCACAGAAGTCTTTCTAAGTTATGTTGGGAACAGCTGGGGCACATTATATTTTCAACTGTAAATTTTATGAAACCTAAAAAGCCACTATTTCCAAAGAAAATGGAGATTCACATGCCTGATTACAGTTTTGATGTAAAAGACACACGGAACTGGGGAGTGGTTGTGACGCTTGGAGTTGGAGGCCAGCTTCAGCAACCTAGCAAAGGCCCTAAGCTCTGTAGTGATACATTCTGTCTCAAAATAAAAAGGGCTGGGATCTAGCTCAGTGGTTGAATTCCAAAAAAAAAAAAAAAAAAAGGACACATGGGATCATGGGATCTCAAAGACTTCCCCTTGAGTAAAAGGATGCAAGACATCTTCATCAATATTAATACTGATCACACGCTGAAATCACATTTTGGTGATATTGGATTAAATAAAGTACGAATTTCACCTGACCCTTTTCTTTCCTTGTACACATATGTGATTACTGGGGCTGAGGTGGTGGCTCGGTGATGCAGCGCTTGCCTTGCACGTGGGAGGCCCGGGGCTCCACTCTCAGCACCGGGTRTAAGCAAAATAAAGGTCTATCAACAACATATTTATGTGTATATATAAATGCACTCAAAAATATTTTTTTTAAATAAAAATATGTGATTACTAAAAAAATGTAATATTGGCGTTACTTGGCCACTGGTCACCCGTGGGGAGCCTGGCAGGGGGCGGCGGTCCGCCCAGGCCGGCGAGGTGCAGCCCCGTTTCTGGTCACATTATGCAGTCATGAAGCCTGCGGTGAATTTTCACTGTCGCCCCTTCCCTGGGCAAGGAAACGTCACCTCGGGAGCGGACTGGCAGAGCCCAGTCTCGAACACTGGTGTCCCCGAACTCGAACTCCAATTTTCAGTACTGTCTACCTGAAACCTCCTCATTGCCCTCGAGGGGGATTCGAACCCGGCCCGACTCCCGACGCCCCGGGCACCAGCGCGCTGCGTTACCCCCGCTCCATCTCCCCCGAGGGGTGCGTCAAACGTTCACAACGTTCACAACGGACTCCCAAGCAGCTGGCCTCCGGGCAGGAGACTCTCGGAGCAGACCCCAGCTGCCATCACCTGCAGACAAGTGCCTAGGCCGCCGATATTCCTCTCTCTTCACACCGCATTCAACTTCGCCGGCGCCCAACTTCCGCTCCCCTCCGGCGAATCCCTAACCAAGCTTTCCTCTATTCCCGCCCCCCGCAGCCAATCGAGCCAATCAGCTCCCCAAAACCTGCTTTATGCTCCCTCCCACTCTCCTTTGCCAATCACCGCGAGCGCGAGAACCGCCCTTCCCGCCTTCTTTAGCGAGCGCCGCGCGCCACCGCTCGGCGGTTGGCAGCTCTGCTCTGCACTGACAGCGTCTTCCGGAAAGGCGGGGCGAAGGGCGGGCCCACTCTACGCCGGTGCGGGAACCCTCGGGATTGGGCGAGAGAAGTTCCGCTCTCTGACTCCACCCACCCTTGCGCTTGACAGCCGAATCCCAAACACTAGGGATTGGTTCCCGGCGGAGACTCTTAGAAGTCTAGAGTTGGTCCCGCCTCCCTAGCCCGACGCGAAGAGGGAGCTTCTCTCATTGGTGCGGGGAGTCTGGGCGCGCGCCGTCCCGCGCTCCAGAATTGGCTGACGGTGTGCTCGCGCCGCCGGGGAGCGTTGACGCTGATTGGCCGGAGGGTGGGGCCGGCTATTTGAAGGCAGCGCGCGGACGTGGTGCGCTCTTCAGTCGGCGGAGAGGGGCGGCGGGAGCGGTGACTTGTGACTCTGCTGGCTGACTCCCGTCTACCACCCCCCCCGCCCCCGCTCAAACCGGACACAGACGCGAGCTCCGCTGCAGCCGCAGCCGCGGCCCGGCGAGGTGATGGCCAAGGTGTCGGTACTGAACGTGGCGGTGCTGGAGAACCCAAGCCCTTTCCACAGCCCCTTCCGGTTCGAGATCAGCTTCGAGTGCAATGAGGCCTTGGCGGACGGTGAGGCTGGGCCTTGCGGAGACCCCCACTCCCCATCCCTGGGCCGACCCCGACCTCCCGTGAAGAACCGCCCTAATGGCCAACCCGATCGCCCCTTGATCCCCCCGCCCCTACAGCCAGCCCCACCTCGCCTGGGAGACCACCCCCCCACCCCCACGAATYCTCACCTCCCGGTGACCAACTCTTACCCCATTGTCCACCCCCGCCACAGTTACCCCTCATGTGGAGACCTCATCTCCCACCCCACCCCGTGGCGCTCCTCCGAGGCACCAATCCGTTGTCTCCGTGGGGACCACAGCCTCCATTTGTTAATCCGGAGACACTCAGCCACCCCATCATCCCTATGGAAGACCCCATTTCACCCGCCCCGGTTTTCCCCTTAGAGACCTCCCCTCCCGTCCTCTCCCCTGTGATGAGACACTCACCTCCCTTTTCCCCAATGGAGACTCCAACTCCTAGTCCTCCTCTCACCCAACTTCCTCACTTTTTCCCCAAGTGAGACCCTCCCCTCCTGTCACCCCTCTTTTCCTGTGAAGACCCCTCTCTCCCATGGCAAGACCTTGTTCATCCCAGAGATTCCTTATCCAACCTGCTAATATTTATGAACAACTCCACCTCTTTCCCCAGATAAGTACTGCTTGTTGTCTACCCCAGTGTATATAACCCAGTTCATATACCCAAGAACTAGGCTTTTCTCGTTAGTCTGGTCCCATTCCCCATACACAAGCTTCTCCTGGGGAGGGATGATGGGGTCTCTAACTCCAGTCTTTTAATGCCTTGGTCTCCCCAGCTTGGGTGCTTTCTGGGCTCCTCTCTACCTATGGGCTTGGATGAACACACTCAAATCTGAAGGGTGGCATAGCCAGACAGGCAGGCATTAGGCAGGAATTAGCCAGTTCCCAGAGGTTCCCACCCCCACCCCGGGTTCCAGCTGACTTACTGCAAGCAATTCTTCATAGTTTTTGATGGTCTGACCTAGTCTGGGCAGTGGGTGGACTGGACCAAGCCAATGTGATTTAGCTTCAAACAGTCAGCTGGCAGGTCACACCCTTTTGTGCATCTTTCCCAAGGTGCTTTCACAGAATGACTTATTCATCTATGCCACATAAAGGTGGACATGGTTCTCATCTCACAGATGAGAAGAAAGGAGCCACAAAGAGCAAAAGATCTTTGAAATAGAGGTCTATGCACATCCAAAATCTAAGGTCACCTAGGGAGCCTTGGCACCACTATAAGGCAAGTCCTGCTTTCAGGAGGAAGTACTCCATTAGACCATCTCACTACTGGTGGCTGAAGAGGTAGCAGGTGAGGAGGTGGAGATCTGTGAGGTTGCAGTGTGCTAACTAGCACCTCTCTGTGGCAGCTGGTTGGTTTGTCAGAAAAACTGAGCACTTGGATTAACTTGGAGCTGGTATAGTAAAATGTGTGTGCCCTTGGGTAGGCCAGTTGGTAAGCTTCTCCCTGGTTTCTTTCACTCCTTTTTAAATTAAGGAGTCTGCTTGTGACTAACTATAGAATAAACCCAGTTAAATCCTTTCTGGAACAAGGCAGGGTGTAAATAAATAAATAAAGTGTAGAATGGCACTGTGGAGTAAGATTTAATTTAAAAGCCAGGAGGAGATGTAAGGAGCTAATAGGTTAAGGGATTCACAGTTCCCAGATGGCAGGAGATCAGGTTTCAATCAGCCTGTTTGTGCTTCTTGCTTTTAAAATTGGTTGCATGGTCATTACATAGTACTTTTATTCCTTATTTATAGAATCAGAGCAGGGAAGGCTACAGTCAACCTGCTGATCATTTTTTAATAGAAACAGTGACTTCAAGTCACCCAGTCTGTTTGTAGATGTGTTGACATTAGAGCTTGCTGTGAGTTCTGAGTCCAGATTCTTTCTCTCTGTTTAATCCTGGAAAAGGAAGAAAACATTCATTTCTGGGAGGGGGGTACTGAGAATCAAATCCAGGGTGCTCTACTAGACACTGAGTTATATCCCCAGCTCTTTTTATTTTGAGACAGGGCCTTGCTTAGTTGCCGAGGCTGACCTAAAACTTGTGATCCTCCTGCCTCAGTCTCCTGAGTCACTGGAATTACAAGTGTGCACCACTTTTCTTTTTTTTTTTTTTTTTTTTTTTTTTTTTTTTTTTTTTTTGGTGTTAGGGAATTGGATCCAGGGCCACATGCATATTAAATATTAAGCACATGCTCTATGGCTGAACTGTATCACCAACCCAACATTGCCTATTTTAGAGGTGAGGCATAAGTAAAAATGACCATAAAATTTCTTGCCAAATCAAGACTCAAAAGACATAATAAAATGGGGTGTTATTACTAATTAAACTTGGGCAAGAAAGCTTTTCCTGAGAAATTCCAGGTGGGAATCCAGACTGTCTAGTTCCAGCTCTCCATGACTGACCTACTGGCTTGTTTTTTTCCTCCTCACAGTCTTCTTTCCGTGAAGTACAGAGAACCCATTTCTTTCCTTCCTCTCAGTGCTGTTAACTGAACTCTTAAAAAAAAAACTCATCCCCAGTTGGGGAAGGTGGCACAGAACACCCAGTGAATCAAGAGGATTGTGAGTTCCAAGCCAAACTTTGCAGCTTAGCAAGACCCTGTTTCAAAAAGTTAAAAAATGACTGGGGATGTGACTCAGTGGTAGAATACCCCTGGGTTCAATCCTCAGTACTGCAGAAAACCCTCCAGCCCCTAGTCAGGTGACTCTCATTTCCCAAGAGCTCTAAGCCTCTTATGCTTTCCTCTCAACATCTGGAAATGGATGGCTTCAAGGCATATGTCTATGTTTAATACATTAGGTATGCTTTGTCCCCCTTTTGAGAAATTCAATAGGCATTAGCTGAATAAGTCATAGAAACCAGATGTTCTGACCCAGAGCTTATACTCTGTGGTAAGACATAGTTTCATCTGTGTGATTAGGAACAAAGACAAAATGATGAACAGAAAAAGGTTCTACTAGATAACATTTAAAAAAGAAATAAAGCCAGGTATGGTGACACATACGTGTAATTCCAGATACTTGGGATTCTGAGGCAGGAGAATCACAAGTTTGAGGCCAGCCTGGGCAACTTAATGAGCCCTGTTTCAAAATAAAAAGGAGTGGGGAGGTAGTTCAGTAGTAGAGTGCTTGCCTATCATATGTGAGGCCCTGGGTTTAATCCCCGGCACCACAAAAGAAAAAAGTAAGAAAGAGAGTCTCCAACTAGTTTAGCCACAGTCATTTTTTCCATATTGTTGTTTATATTGTCAACACTGGTTTTGTCTTCATACGTAGAGGAGGTGTATCAGCTCGAAAAGTTAGAACATTGAGACAAAAGGTAATCCTGCAAAGTTACCCTTCAGCATTGTTCTGAAGCTTAGGTATACACGATACATGTCTGTGGTTGTATCCTATATTTTAATAAGTATGAGTTGATGTTACGTGAGGAATTCATATCCCATATCTAATTCTGAAGAGAGTTTATGTAATCTTCCCTAAGGGTTGGTTCTAGGACCCACTCAGGTACCAAAATCCACAGATGCTCAAGTCTTTTACATAAAATAGTGTAATATTTGCATAGAACATCCTCCATATACTTTAAATAATCTCTAAAGGATTTATAATACCTAATACGTTATACATAATATGGAAATAACTGTTATGCTGTATTGTTTAGGGAACCATAACAAGAAAGAACAGTCTGTATATATTCAATACAAACGTTTTTGGGGTGTGTGTATTTGTGGTGCTGGGGATGGAACCCAGGGTCTCGTGAATATTAGGCAAGTGCTCTATCACTGAGCTACACTCCCAGACCTCAATTTTTTTTCTCCAATACTTTCCATTTGTGGTTGGTTGAATCCATGAATGGTGAGGGCTAGTTGTATTCAGAAATGGAAGTCCGTTAAGTATGCCCCTCCTTAAATCACAACAGTGAAGGTAAGACAGTTCCATTCAGAGCCTCTCATGTCAGTCACCTCCTGTCTTCCATAGGTGGTTTTATCAGCACATCTCACTTAGGAGTTGGTATTTCTCTGTGGCCTTCAGTTCATTCTCCTRTTTCTCTCTGGCTTGTGTCATTTGCCTCTGGCCCACCATACATTCTTTAGATCGGCTTCCACTTTTTTTTGGTACTGGGGATTGAACTCGGGGGCACGCGACCACTGAGCCACATCCCCAACCCTTATTTTGTATTTTATTTAGAGACAGGGTCTTACTGAGTTGTTTATTGCCTTGTTTTTTGCTGAGGCTGGCTTTGAACTTATGATCCTCCTGTCTCAGCCTCCCAAGCCGCTGGGATTACAGGCGTGGGGTACCTGATCTGGCAGCATCCACGCATTCTTTGTTTAGGTTTTGCTAACACGTATTGATTTGGACTCAACATCAAGTACCTTCAGTGCGTTGGAGGCTTCTCTATTTCAGGCTCCTTTTTGCCTAATCCTTGCCCCAGCACATTAAATAAATGTATACATATATGTGACTCCACTAGTAATGGGGAAAAAGCTTGAAAAAAAAACAAAATAAGGGGCTGGGGCTGTAACTCAGTGGTAGAGCACTTGTCAGCATGTATGAGGCACTGGGTTCGATCATCAGCACCACATAAAAATACATAAAATAAAGGTGTTGTGTCCATCTACAACTAAAAAATAAATAAATAAATAAATAAATAAAAGAAGCCAAAGTAATAGTGTTAGAGTGAGAGAGCACTAGCTTGTTTTTCTGTCCTTATAACAAATTTTATTCCATTCATACCGCTACTCAACAAAAATAAATCCTGGGGATGGAGTTCAGTGGTAGAGCACTTGCCTGCATGTGCAAGGTCCTGGGCTCAATCCTCAGCACTGCAGAAAGTAAATAAATATAAGTCCATAAGCTTAACTTCCTCCCTGCAAAAAAAAAAAAGAGGCTGGCCTTTGAACCCCAGGAAGCCAAATGGTCACCCATATTACACAGTTCCTGAGTAGAAGGGACTGGGTGAAACTGCAAAGGGACAGGAAGTAGGTGTATCGAGGAAGGAGTTGGGGCTCAAGTGACAAATCTCTGTAGTCATGGCTTCCAAAGTTGGATGTTTGTGTGATGCTGGACCAAGGGACAGGGCAGCTTCCTGTGAAAATCACAGCTTGTGAAACTTCCCCCAGCTGCTGGAGCTGTGGGTTGTGTAATTTCAMAGAACCTAAAATAAGTTTCACGTCTCCTGCCAAGCTTCCCTGTACTAGCATGACCTTGCCCCTGATACACTTGGACCTCCTGCAAAAGGCAGTGGTCACTGGGACTTGATTGACAGGCAGGGTCTCCTTAAGTGTTTTTTCTTTAAACTCTTCTGATCATACTTGGGCATCCCCCTACAGGATGGGATGCAGAGAGTTAGGACTGGAGGTTAATCCTGTGATGCCACATTTACTGACTGAACCCTGTCACCCAAATATCCATTGATGCCCAGTCTGGAAGACCTGTAGATGGGCTGGCTCCCCTAGCAGCTTCACCTTGCCCCTCCTGCCTCCTGCCTCCTGGCTGTCCTGCCAGATTGGAATCTGCTGCCCTGTCCCAGTTGTCGAGGGATCCACTCTGTTCAGTGGCACCGGTCCCTGTGTGTGAAAGAGGATGCTGCTTCCTATCTCAGCACCCAGTGGGCAGGGCCCTGAAATGGCCCAGCTCCCTGCTATTCCCTTCTCAGCACGCCTGGGTCATGTGGCTCTTAATTCAGCCTCTGCCATACGGGTTCACTCGCAGGCTCTAAGAGACCCAAGTTCCCCCAAAGGTCCAAAGTCAAGGTCATCTGGCAAAGCTAGACCCACAGGAGAAATGTCCCCACTGGAAGTAGAGCTTCAGTCTGTCCCAGCATTCAGTACTGTAGTGCCTGCACTTAGTACCCAGTGTATACCAGTTCTTAGAATCTTTGAATATGTAAGAATCTTTCCAAAACTAACATGAGAAGACCCTTTTCCTGCCTTCTTGTTGTTGAGCTATATCAGTCCCTTAACCCTTGTTCCCGCCATGTCCTTGTAGACCTGGAATGGAAGATCATTTATGTTGGCTCTGCTGAGAGTGAGGAGTTTGATCAGATCCTAGACTCGGTACTGGTTGGCCCTGTCCCCGCAGGAAGACACATGTTTGTCTTTCAGGTAAGAAAGATAAGAGCTTAGCCCTTGACTTTTCGAGACATGGCGGTAGGGGGTGCACTGATGGAACCCAAGGCCCTACACATTAGGCAAGCACTCAACCACTAAGGTCTGCCCTCAGTTTAGAAACATCTTTTACCTACCTGAAAGCACACAGTGTGATTCAGCAGTCAGAAGTTCACATCCAAATCCTCACTCGGCTCTTAGAATCTGTCTGACCTCTCAGATGTCCTACAGACAACTCCTTCCTACCCACCTGTGTGTCTCACTTGTTACCATGAGCCACTAATTTATAGTCAGTTCTTTTTATTCACAGCAGTCATGAATAAAGTCACCAGAAATGCTAAATTAGTGAATACCAAACTATTAACCCTAAGGGGAAATACAGACTGAGGTTCAAATTGCATTTCATCAATTTGTCAATATGTAACCTTGTTTCATGTGTTTTTGTTTTATCATACCTTATTTAATATATATTGTTGATTCGTTAATATGTAACCAAACACTACTATAACTCATGTCTGAGTGACATTTAATACAAATTATCTTCATAAGACCTTCTTACACCCTAGGGGGCACTTCAACACTGTATTTCAGGGTCCCCCCCACCTCTGGTATTAGGGATTAACCGCAGGGCCCTGTGCGTCCCCAGCTCTTTTTTAAAAAATTTAAGACAGGATCTTGCTAAGGCTAGCCTCAAACTTGTGATCCTCCTGCCTAAGCCTCCCAAGTAGCTGGATTACAAGAATGCATCACTATGCTCACTTTGGGGGTCATTTTAAAACAGCAAACTCACACACAAAAATATGCAGAAAACATGGCACCAAAAGGGCTTCCATAGGGCTGGGGATATAACTCAGTGGTAGAATGGCTGCCTAGCATGCATGAAGTTCGATCTACTRCAAAATAAGGGCCCTCATTCTCAGTAAGAGAACTAAAACAAGAAAGCAAGAGTGTTATCTCATTTGGCCTCAGGTTGGAACATGGACATCGGGTGACCAGTTTTTCCCTGTTCTGTGTGTGTCTGCAAATGACTGAAAGCACCACAAATGTTGGTTTTGGGGTTACAAATAACTTAACAAGTAGGCAAATTAGCAAATACAGAGTCTGTGAATATGAGGATGAATGGTAACTCCCAAGTAGCCCTCTAATACAGCATCACCTAACTTGTCAGCCATGCAGATTCTAAGCTCTCCATATGATTCTTAGGAACACTAACGTTTGAGAATCCATTCACTTACCTCCCTTTCAGCTATTACCCCCTAATCCAAACTGCCACATCCCTTAACCCTCTCATACACTTCTACTAAATCAACCAACAAACTCATCTGTTCTACCCCAAACCAGGGCCAGCTTCTTGGGCATGTGTCCTGGGCAGTTGCACAGGGATCCATGCTTGTAATGTTCTGTCCCCATCTGAAACTTGAATAGTTTTTGTGTAAGGAGCCCCTGTTTTTTCCTTTGCACCAGGTATAGCCCATCCTGTCCATAGCAGCATACCCCGAATCTGTGTGCTCCTATCCTCCATAGCTGGGTCTAAGCCTGCTGCCTTTCTCTCTCAGGATGACTCCAGCCTGGCCTCCTTGCTTCTAGTACAGCCCTCTACCTATTCCACATCCCACACCACCAGTCTTCTGTTCAAACCCAATGTAGTGATGTCGCCCTTACCTCTTGCCGAACAGTGCTCTTTTCCAGGCTCCCCGTTGGCCCAGCAGGCACTGGGTGGCCTGGTGTCTTCTGATCTCCTCCTGCCACTCTCCCCTGGCTCATCACTTTCCTTCTGGGCACCCCTTTCTCTCCTTATTACAGTCACTGTTATTTAAATTGGTTTACTTTTGCAGTGCTGGGGATGGAAACCAGGTCCTCATGCAGGCGAGGCAAGTGCTCTACCACTGAGCTACATCCCTATCCCACAGTCATCAATTCATAGTCATTTCTATGATCAGTTCTGTCTAATCCCATTCTAGTGAAAGCCCCTAAGGGCAGAGCGCTTACTTTTCTGCTCAGTAAATACAGGTCACTTGAGGGTTGGGTATATAACTCAGTCACAGAGTGCCTAACCTGCATGAGTCCCTGGGTTTAGTCCTTACCACCACAAATAAAATAAATATAGGTCACTTGGGAATCTTCCTATTATGACTATGGAAGTGCTAAGACACAGAATGTCTCCCTCAGGCTGATGCCCCCAACCCCTCCCTCATCCCTGAGACTGACGCTGTGGGCGTTACTGTTGTCCTCATCACCTGCACCTACCACGGACAGGAGTTCATCCGTGTGGGCTACTACGTCAACAATGAGTACCTCAACCCAGAGCTGCGGGAGAACCCACCCCTGAAGCCAGACTTTTCTCAGGTGGGGCCTCCACATTTCTTGCTGCAAGCACATCAGTTCTCTTGCACTGGAGGGGAGTTGAGCCATTAGAATTGGGAGCCAAAGTTCACTTGGGTCTTTAAATTGTGCTTTGTTCTGCAGTGCTGAGTGGGGGGAGAGAGAAAGGTCTTTGCAGCTCAGAGGCATACCCTACRGAATTAGGACCAGATGGGTCCCACACCTAAGCACTAGTGTGCAGGTAGTCCCTGGAGTTTGACACAGGGTCACTGGAAGGGATAGAAGAAGTAAAGTCTGCTTCTTCTTCTTCTTCTAAGGCAGAAGTTTAGAGGGTGTCCTGGCTCTGTGGGAGGAATGAGGGGGCATGATGACAAGGATTGACATTCTTCATCCTGCCCCAGCTCCAGCGGAATATCTTGGCCTCGAACCCCCGGGTGACTCGTTTCCACATCAACTGGGACAACAATGCAGACAGGCTGGAGAGCATAGAGAACCAGGACCCTGTTCTGAGCTGTGGTCTTCCCCTCAGCTGCACCCCTGTCAAGGGCCTTGGCCTCCCTGGCTGTATCCCTGGCCTTCTCCCTGAGAACTCCATGGACTGCATCTAACTGTGGGAAGCCAGGCCCTGGCTGCACTCAGCCAGGACCACAACCAGTCACCTGGCATACCTGGAGGGGGCCCCAGGCCTCCCAGAGAGTCGTGTGGGGTCATCTCAAGGATTTTGGAGCCATCCACTGCATCCAGGCCTGTCTAACTTGGCTCCGAAGAAAAAATGGGCACCAGGTCTCTTCCAGCCTCTGCCCAGAAGGATCATCTCACCTCCACCGCACAGGCCTATAAGAAGCAGGTACTTCGTTGTTCATTCTTACTGACTCGTGTTTTTCCTCTTCCACACACACTATAAATTCCACCTGCAGGCCATTGTGCCACTAGCTCCCATGAGTACTTTTGACCCAAAGCTCTTCCTGCCTTGAGGCTCTCAGTCAATCCCTGGCAAGGCTGTGGCCCTGTTGGGCTAAGGGTGCTGTCATTTCTCTCCCTCTCCAACATCTGAGCAGATCAGCTTTCTGGTGTCACAGGCAAGGAATCCTGGTTACAGGATTCAGATAACAATTTCTGTCCTTCTCCCRGGAGTATTTTTAGGTCTTTAAAACCCAGCAGCCCCTAGAAAACTCGTTTCCCACCGGTGTGATCATCAGGATGCTGAGGAACAATGGGTCTCTCTCTAAATCACAGCCACCTTCCTGTCATCTCCTAACTTGTCTGGCTTGTCTTGGAGGCTGCCCTAGGAGGATGTGTGCATTGGAGGGCTTGCTGTCTGGCGCAGGGTTGCTCTGTAGACCTTCGCCCCTGGCTGCCTTGGTCTTCTCTCTGCTAAGACGCATGCTTTCATAGGCCACAGAGTGATTTTGGGCAAGGGAAACCTTCAGCACCCTGAAAACATTCCCTCCCTGACCTATGTCTCTGTCCCTCGCTGCTATGTGGATGCTGTTGTGATTACAGTTTGTATATTAAAGGGTTTTTATATTAAAAGTGTTTGGTTGCTCTAAAAATAAAAAGCACTTCATCTAGACTGCCTCTTCTGCTTTTGACTCAGGTGGGCTGAGGCAGCTTCATTTCCCTCCTCATGCGCTCTGATGGGGCCTCTTGTTCTGTCCTATGGGGTGGCTGGCCCTTCTCCCTTTGCTCAGTGTCCTAATGCCAGTCTTGGAGTTGTATCCCAGACTGAARGTCCAGGAGGGGTTTTTCTTTGTCAAAACTTAAGCAAACCAGCTGTTCTGTACACAGGTCATAACCAGTGATTTTTCAGACTTAGATGTTGACTGGCAAAAAGAACAACATTGGGATCCAAGGATACACACACAGACCCATTTTTTAATTTAGCCTCACTGTGTAACTCCACAGCTCGAAGTGAAGCAGTTTGGTTGGTTAGCCATCACCCTGTAATTCCCAGAAGAGCCCCTACTTTTCCCTCCCTGGACAGTGGTTGACCTGGGGACACGGGTGCAGTCAGCTGCTGGATAGAGTGCAGGTTGTGCAATGCTAAGCACGGCAGTGCATCAGCTTGTAGTTGGGACCAGCTGCACTGAGTCCGAAAGACTAGGCTCAAAGTCTATGCTTAACTGGGCGCAGTGGGGGCACCCTTAGAATCCCAGCAGCTTGGGAGGCTGAGCCAAAGGGATCCCAAGTTCAAAACCAGCCTCAGCAAAAGCAAGGTACTAAGCAACTCAGTGAGACGCTGTCTCTAAATAAAATACAAAATGGGTCTCCCTGAGTTCCCTGGTACCCCTGCCCCTGTCAAAAATAATAATAATAATAATAATAATGTCTGCTTAGCTCTTCCTGTTCCAGCATCTGTTCCTCCCTCTGTTCCAGCCTCCCTCTGCTAAAGTGGTTCTCCACAGGGGCGGGGCAATGATTTTGCCACACACCCCCTTTTATAGCAGAGTCTGGAGGTGGTTTTGGTTGCCGTGGCTAGCAGGAAGATGGAAGTGCTACTGACATCTGGTGGGTGGAAGTTGGGGGGACTGCTGAACTTTACTGGGCCGCTGAGAAACCCGACAGTCCTCAGGTAATGTGTATATTAAGGAGCTGTGTCTTTTCTTTGCTCCTCTAGGGCAGGATCCTTTTGCATTGTCCAGACAGGGATTAATTAAGAGCAACGAATCACCCTCGCTATCTTCTGAGTCCTCATCTGTAAAATGGGCACGATGATCCCTGGTAGAGGTGTGATGCCAAGTCACGCACTAAACRAGCGAGGAGTCTTAACTACTAGCATCAGGCCAGGGTTGGGACCCAGCAAAGGAGTGGACACTGAGCGCCTCCTACAGCCTCTCACTCCTGAGGCCCAGCATCCCCCGAAGCTCCCGCAGTGGCTAGGGGAATCCTAGTAGGGAGCCCCAGCCTGGACCCCAAGCTGCGCAGTGCCAAGCCTTCTGAATGACGACGGTCGGCGGCCGGGCGACCTATGACCCGCGGCGCCGGCTGCGCCCCTCCCCCGCTGGCAGGTGGACAGCGGCTGCGCCGGGAGGGCAGTGGCGTCAACCTCGGCTGGCAGGCGGCCGCTGCCGCACTGGGCGGGGGCGGGGGACTGCGGCGCACACGGGGCCTGCCGGGCGCCCGCCGGGGCCGCCTCTCGGGCTTCGGAGCGCGGCGCGGCCACCCGCCAGCCTCAGCCGCCCCGCCCGGCCAGCCCGGGCCGCAGTCTGCGCCTCCGCCCCGCCCTCTCACCCCGGGATTGACACTGAACGTTCTGCCGGGGGCTGGCCTGACAGCGCGCCTCGGCCAATGCGCGGCCTCTCAGAGCGAGCCCCGGACCCCGGCCGGCGCCTGGGCAAATCACGGGCGCCTGCCCGCCCAGCTGAGACCTCGGGAGCCTGTGAATGGCCAGGCGTCCTCGGCGCGCGTCACGGGGCCGAGGAGCCTATGGCGGCGCGGGAGGGTGTCGGAGGGCCAATGGACAGCGCCGAGGCGCCGTCAGTCAGAAAGGCCTAGGCCAATGATCGGCGGGTTGCGGGGGCGTCACGGACGCAGCGGACTTGGACTGAGGATCCCGGGCGGGCGGGCGCGCGCCGAGAGACGCGGGAAGCAGGGGCTGGGCGGGGGGTCGCGGCGCCGCAGCCAGCGCAGCCAGCCCGAGGGGCCGCTGCCTCCGCCGCCCAGCGCGCTCCGGGGCCGCTGGCTGCCTGTAGCACCCGCCACACCGCAGCTCCAGGACCGGCCCCGGCCGCCGCCGCCGCGATGGGCAACGCCGCCGCCGCCAAGAAGGGCAGCGAGCAGGAGAGCGGTGAGTGCCCGGGCCGTGACCCTGATTTCGGCCCCGCGATGCCAGCCCGCGCCCTGTCCATCACTGCATGGCCCCTCCCCCCATCGGCCCCCCCATTCCTCTCTGCTTACTCCCAGCGCCCCTTCCCCCTGCCTGTCCGAGCCTGGGGCCTGAGAGCCCGCATAGGGGCCCTACCTCCACCTCCGTAGAAGCCCTTTTGCAATGGCCGGCCGCCCCCCACTGCAAGTCCGTGCCCCCCCCACCCAGCTGTCACTGCCAACCATGGCACATATGACCGCTGGGGCCCCACATGGGTCCCTGTCACCACCCCACCCCCTCCTTTCCTCACCCCTCTCCCCAGATTCTAATCCCCCCCCACTTCCTCACTCACCTCCCTCACATATGGGAGCCACTGCCTGACCCTTACCCAGGCCTCTACCAGTGCGGGAGTGCTGTGGGGTCCGCCTCCACCCCGCAGGGACCTTGGCCACTTGATGACCACACCCCTCCCCCTTCCAGCCCCCGCCATCTTTCTCCTGCCCTTCCCCTCTTCACCTTATCCACAGTCCCCCCTAGGCCCACCCTACCCCCCGCCTTTGAGCATTTCCCAGAGCCACCTCCAGCATTGTTTTTCCCTTCTGTGTCACTTGGCATGGGGGACAAGATCTTTCTGGGTCCCTCTGCCCCTCTTGCATCCTGTCACTCTGACTCTCTGCTTGTACTCCCCCCTCCAAGCAAGCGTCTGTCTGTCCCTGGCTGGGGTAGCAGACTGTTTATGAACCTAGAGAATGTCTTTTGGGAGCGTCAATGCTTCCAAAGCCAAGTTTGAGCTGCTCTTGCTAGGATCCATTGCTCCTCTTTCCTGGATTGGGGGTGGGGGGTGTCCGCATAGCCCCCTCCCATCTCCWACCCTGCTGTGGGCTGTATGCTCCTTGGTGGGCCCCTCAATAAATGGTGTTTCACAACCGAGGCTCCTCATTCACCTAGTCCCTGGGGCTTCTTCACCTGTTCCTGGCTCCTGACTGGGAATGAAGTGTCGGRTTGGTGAGGCTCACTCGCCTTGAACTGGGATGATCAGAAAGAGGACTTGGGGAGGGGGGGAGGTAGTCAAGGAGAGTAATGAGTGACATCTAGTGATTTGCTTTGCCAAGGGACAAATAGATYCTCTATAGACCAGGGCTCAGAGAGAGGCTTTTCCTACTCCCTAGACCTCAGCTATGTTGGCCTTTCCCATCTTGAGAGAGAGAGAAAGGTTCTGTGTTTGAAAACGCCATCAGAAATGGCCTTGAGCCCCCTCCCCAATTTCCCCCAGCTCTTAATTGTTGTCACTGAAGCCCTAAAAGTGGGCCTCAGCTGGGAATCCCCTTCCAGTCACCCAGAAATATTCCAAACTGAAAAGGAAGCCACATCCAACTATGCCCTTCCCAGTTCTTGGTCTCAAACCTGAGTGTCGGAGTCCCAGAATGCCCCCCCCCCCCCGAGAAATATGAAAAAGCTACGAAGGCCTGGGAATTTCTGCCTGCACACAGTCAGACGGCAGGACTCTGAGTGGCAGAGCCTTGAAGAAGCCCGATATGTTACCAATGGGCGGGGGACAGGAGCACAAATGCCCGTAGTTGAGTGCTTGATGACAGAGGAGCAGGTGGGCAGTGTCCAAAAACAGCCTGGGCATGAGCTTGGAGGGGACTAGGCAGAGGGGACAGCCAGGCCCCCAGCAGGTGAGGCAGGCTGGGAGGTGGAAGGTGGACGCAGGCAGCTATCTATTGCAATGGCTGGGTTGAAAGTTGGGGAGATGACATAGTCCTGGAAGACCTTCAAGGCATTCCAAATGCATGCGGTGGGGGGCGGATAGGGAGC